AATAACTAATCACTTCTTTATTTAAAGATGCATTTATATTAAGTAAGATTACTAATAAGTAATTTTGCCAATTTTGAGGTTAGAAGAAAAAAAAAAAAAACTACTTAAAACTCCCTGAAGGCTTCCCTGGCAAACATCCTTGCTTATTCCAGTGATTTTTTATTTTATGTTTGCTAAAACATGTAAGCTGTTGGCATTGCCTTCCAAGTTTATGTAAAGTATAATCAGTTCTAAGATTTGGGTTTCATTGAAGAATATAGATAGAAATTTAGGCCTTTTAGTTGTGAGGATGACCCCTTAGCCGACAGGACTAACATAATTTTGCTACATCATTCAGTGACACACAAGTGCATACTCTGAGCTCAATGAACCTGGAGAGTGAGACTTCTCGTCCTATTTCTACAGGCCACATTTTCATTCCTGTGGCATCCTTCAATCACTGAGGACGATTTAGAACCTAAGGCAGTATAATTTGCCCATTACATGGTGTGTGCATGGTGAAATTAAGAAGTATTATATTTATAATTACTGAAGCTATTCTGGTTTAGAGGTGAACCATCTTCATTATGCTCCACCAACATAAATTGTATGTTATTATGAAAGCCCTACTTCATATAATGGGAGAGAGAAATACAAGAATTTAATTCAGAGATAGCTAATGCTACTTTTGAGCTGTTTCATCATAGTGTTTTCAGAGATACTGTTCTGACAAAATGATTTTTAGTGAACTATAACATAGTTTAATCCTAATTAAGAAGTTGGTTAATGAGTGAGAATTACAATGAAATTGTATGGTTATATAAATGTGCTATCATTTTACTGATGTCAAGCAAACTCCATGAAAGGCTTTGTTAAACTACAAATTACATTGTAATATTCCTCAAAGATTGACTTTGATAGCCAGTGTTTGTTGTGTGGCCACATGGGGAGGAAAATGCCAATTGACAAATTTGGGTCTTCTTAGAAAATTATATACATATATATGTATATATATATAATATACATATTATACATATATAAAATATATACATGTTACATATATTATATATAACTATATAACATTTTATTTTTTATGTAAATTACATCTCTTATTCTATTAAATGATAGCTGTGTACATTAATGCAATCATGGGGTACAGTGTGGTGTTTTCATATATAATTGGAAATATTTTCATCAAACTGGTTAACATAGTCTTCATGTTATTTTCTTAGTTATTGTGTTAAGACTTTTATGTTCTACTTTTAGAAAGATTTACTTGTATCCTTGTAAGATAAACCATAGAGGTGATCCCTCGAATCACCCTCCCTCCACCCATCCAACATTTTATATATAATGTATATATAATATATAGCATATGTTCTATATAACATATATA